CAGCAACAGAGTGGAAGTAGTGCCGTGGTGTAGTGTTGTGAAAAACTATTCTTGCTCTACATACAACATCGAGTCACAAGTGTCTAATGAATGTTTAATTGTTGCTAGAATCTTATATACTTATTAGCAATAATAATAATAATTAGTAATACTACTACTTAGCGCTAGGATTAGTATCAGACAACTGCTAGGTGTTAGTTGGTCAGGTATCGAGGTTTTATTGGTCAAACTACGCACAAGTCGAGGTTCAGTTGGTGTGAAAGGTAAAGATTTTAATGGTATTGAAATATATCTAAATCTCTAGATATATCTAGATATATATATATTTATATAGAGTGCTCTGTTCTTACGCTCAGCGGTACATTGGCAGCGCTCTCTGTGGATATTTTACGCTGCTTGCTGTACGGCGGAATCTCTGCGATTCTAGTTGTTTGCTGCTGCTGTTGTTGTTGTTGTTGCTGTTGCTGTTGCTGCTGGTGGGTTGATTGCAGCAGTTGGCGCATCGATGCGCGCTGTGGACTGCTGCCCGTGCTGCTGCCCGTCTGATCAGCCGAATCGCTCGATTTCTTGCGGAACGGCGGTATCTCTTGTATATGCATCGGCGCTGCGTAGCTGGCGGCGGCTGAGTTCAGAGCTAGCGTGCTAGCTGAAGCGCTGCAAGGTGCCATAACAGAAGCGAGCGATAAAGAGAAAAAGTAATAGGAAAGAGAAAGAGAAATATATATGGAGAGAAAGTATATAGTATATGGTTGAGTAGAGAAAAGCAACAAGAGTCTAAAGTAGAGGTATTCCATCAAATACAGAAATTTAATTAACTGCCAAATCAATTGCTGGAATACCCTTACTGTAAACAATAACTAAGTTGAATACATATATACATAGATCTATTCTAGATAGAGTAAGCAGCTTGTAAAGTGAAGATGTTGGCCAATTGATAGAGGAATTGTTTAGAATTTCGTAGTTTTTTTTTTTAGTTTTAGTTTTGGAAAGCGAAAACAACAACAAACAGCAAGAAATTAGAGCACAGCACAGTTAAAACATTGAATTTGCATTGTGTTGCAATGCCTCCTCCTCCTCCTCCTCCTCTTCCTGCACACACACATCTATAGTTAATGAATCACACAATTTACCCGCTAAGCAGCTGTTGTTGTTGTTGTTGTTGCACTCTCTGACCGTGCGCGGTCAGAGCACTCAAATTGCGCACCGAATATCCAAGAAATGGCGGTATTTCCGGTATAAAGAATTGCGATTTTTGCCTACAACTTTTACAAGCGCTATAAAAGTTATCGATAAAAAAACAAAAAACAAATGTATAAAGTTTTTATGAAAAATGAGCAAATGCAGAAAATGGCACAAA